ATATAATATTGAAATATAAAATATGAGCGAAGCATCCAAAATGCGCACTGATTTATCACTTATAAATCGTATCATCAGTTTACCTTTCTAAACTTGTGGTTAAAACCTGACTTTGAAATAATAATAAAATCTTTACATATTGAATTTTTTAAATTATTCCAAATTAAAACATGAATTACTAATCCATTTTATGAAGAATATATCTGTTGCTTGCAAAGCAAAATATCAGAATGTAGCAGTTATAAAAGTTTTCAAGAAAGTCTGATATAGAACAGTTTTAATAGCGATGATTAGAATAAGAATGATATCAGTAGTTATTATCATGACAATAAATAATAATTATGGTAGCAATTGAGAACAATGCTTGCTGCTTAATCTTAAGCTAAAACGGTCTGAAACACAACAAAGTTCATTTCACATTTATAATAAAAGTATGAACAGTACCTGCAATAGTAACTGGCCAACGATGAAGGCACTTCCTTGACAGTATCCTACTTCCGTATCATGAATACTGTATGCTTTGATTACATTGAAGAGAGCTTGCTGGCCACGACCATTATCCTTGAAAAATTCCAATTCTGGATAAGTACGAGGGATATCACGTAATATCACCTAAAAATAATACAATTAAACCACTCAGTGATAATAAATTCATAACCAATAGATATGATTAATTTTGGATAAATATTGATTCCTTAATATTTTGAATCATGGTATAATATGGCTTAAATCTAACAAATCAATTATCATAAAAATCAGATTACTTTTTCATATGGTGAAGATTTTCTCATACAGTCTGCATAAATATCATGAATTGCGGATACGTTAGCGTCACTTAACAACTGCCATGCAATTGTACGGAAATGCTGCGGAATTCCACAACGTACTAATTCCTGTAATAATTATTGGATTTAGATTATATATGAATATATTACTTTGAAATCATTTAAACTATGATAGTGCTTTCCATTCACGTGAGGTAAATTTATTAATTGTATTCATTTTAATGATGATTAACAAATTGCTTGCACTGCAATTGTTTCTGGTTTTTTATAAATTCGAAAATTTTGAACTTACTGCTACTTGACATGCGTGAAAAACGCATAGACAATTTACGACAAGATTTGAAAAGTCGTTATATTTCAAAGTGGTTAGTAATAAAATTGACGATGAGATTTAAAAAAGTCAACAACGTGTCATATGGGCTTCTTTACTTCTTTAAAATTTTTGATTAGAAATTTAAATGTAATAAACGATTTAAACAATAATAAATATTCACAAAAGCAAAAGTTAAAATTTGCTCATTTGGCAAAAATATATTTATAAATAATTTTTTTTATTTTGCAAAGAAAATTTCTTGCATAAATTTTGTAAAATTCTAAACAACAATTCTATGTTAAGTTTGGAAAAGTAAATAATCAACGAAAGCTGCAATAATACTAAAATTAACTTTCAATTTCTGGAATTTAAGTATGCATAACTATTATTTGTTATCATGATTATAACTAAAGAAAGATTAATAATATTTTTAATTTTTAACTTAATATAAAAAATAGATTACACAAAATAGATTTAAAATTTGAGATAATTGCTCAAAAAATATTTATTAAAGATTACAGATAAAATTTTTCACTAATATAATTTTTCATAAATAGTAAGCTTACAAGGTTACTTAAAATTGCATCAAAAATAAAGTAATAGCCATTAGCGGCATAAATTTTTCTTCCCAAATGTATTTACTATAAATGACTTAAATCTCGTAAAGAAGTAATGTAATATATCTGCAAAAATATTTATGCAAACAAGTACATTTTAAATTTGTTGACCATAATATGACGGCATCATCACAATTGTAATAACTGAGTACATAATTTTAATAAATATAATGTTTTGTAAACATAATTCGAATAAAGAGCAATAATATAAATATGCATAATTATTCAAATATAAGTGATAAATCAAAATATAATGGAAACTTTGGTAAATATTTGCAAACTTTGATATAATTTGGCCTTTTTCGACTCTCTGTTTCCCAATTTTTGATAAGACTTCCCCAAACAGCCCAGAGATCTAAATTCTCGTCATCTTCAGCTGGAACGCTATTTTCACGCGATTTATTTGACCTGAAATGATTAATCTTATATTTTTTAGCTCAAAGTACTGAGTTGGGAATAGATATTAAATTATATGCAAGCACATCTGTCGATGCTTTTGTTTATTCAAAGAGTCATAATTTTGACTCCACAATCCATTTCTACACTTTACACAAATTTAAAATCTTTATTATCAAAAATAAAAATGCAAAATTTGACACAAATCCGAATGGATAAAAGTATTATTTATTTTTAAAGTGAAACGTTTTTATGATCAAAAAAATGCTTTTATTATCAAAAAAATTACGAATATTAAAAGAGACAAATAATTACACTGATATATATATAAATTACAGTTTAGTCGATCAGTATGCAAATTTTAAAATATGCTGTATTTCAAATCAGAACAGAATAATCAAAAGATTAAAGAATCGTAATTACTATATTTGTCTGAAAGTAAAAATTACTAAATTGAAACTAATAATAATCAAATATAATACCGAGGACTAAAGCTATCACTAGGTGCACCACCAGAACTACTAGAAGCAGTTCGAATCGAGGCAACAGATCTCGAGTCTAGCTCATTTGAGGTGTTCATCTGCTTCATTTTCATGAGAATTGGTACTGCTGGTTCCGGTACTTCTTCATCTAGTGCTATACCGCTACTACCACTTACGGAATAACTCTCGATTGCTGCCACTTCCGGTGCTATAACTACACTAGGTACGATATTTTCGGTTGTTATTGATTTCTGTGATTCACCTGCAAATTTTCATAATATAGTATTGAATTTTGATTTGCTTTTAAAAGTGCAGTATGATTTAATCAG